TGGGGGGGGGGCATGGCCCCTTGCCAAGAGAGACGCATTCATAGAGATTTCAGTAACAGGCATTTGGAGACATTAATGGATAAGCCCCTGGCCTTCATGATCTAGCAGAACCTACCATACCAGGAACTTTGAAGGGTTTGGAAAAAGGACAGTAAAGCCTCCACAACTGTGCCACAACTTAGCTTGTAATTCAACTTTCCTTGAAAGTGCATATTCAGGAGATGAGCCACTGAGTTCCTCTTGGAAGGACTAAGGAGCGTACCTCATAATAAATGTCCGGGCTCAGCTACTCAAAAAATATTTCAAATGTGGAACACCAAATTCTTGCTTACAGCAAGGGCCAGGAAATTGAGCCAAAAGTGCAGCGTCGATATTCTTATCGGCTAATTCCAATTTCCAGGGATGGTTTACTCTGGAAGCATGTCTTATCAGAGCGGGTCATTAGTGCTGCTTCCTACTGATGTGAAGTGTAACATTAATGAACACACACGCATGCAAATGTTGAACACAATCTTGGCAAATGCGAGTAACGTAATCCATAGAGTCAAATGTTTGTCAGCACTTTTGCATGTAAGATTGTACCTATAAGGGAACATGGGAAGGGGATTTTGTGATATTTGATACAGGATATTTTTAAAGAAGCTCAAACCGTGGGAATGCATGTACATGTACCTTCCAACACCAACCTACATTGTACATGTAGCAAATCACTGACAAGCAAATATGCCGTGAATTTAAAACACGGCATTCTTCAACTGAACATATTTTGCAAACTTTGAGATTGCTACTGTAAGTTCAGAGCAAGGAACAGACAACTGTACGTGTACATGTGCCAAAAAGTTGTTTGTTCCTATTGATTAATTTGAAAACAGTTTGATAAAACTAATACAAGGGAACTGAAGCCTTAGGGGGAATGACATGTATATGTACTGGTGTTGATCCAGTCACAACCAGTCACAAGTGCATGCTTTTTTGTTATACATGTAAAAAATATGAAAACAGATAAATATCTTCAGATTTCTTTGGTTTTGAGACAAGCATTGAAGCACTTCTTGTTCCTATATTCTTGACAGTGCACTCCATAATCCATTTGTGTACTGAGCTTTATTTTAGGAAAAGTATGTGCACATGAAGAATGTAGCCACAAATATGCCGTGTACGTACGAGCACAGCCACAAAAAATAAGTATGCTTACAGGCAACAGACCGTTCATGCTACACAACAGGTGACATAGAGCATAGAGGTACATGTACACATGTGTATTGTAGAATACATGTACATAATGGTACCCTTTATGACCTCTTATTAATCCAACCTCACATCAACCACCCCCCCCTTAATTTGAACAAACAATGCTGGAAAGACGTTTTACAACTCAATAGAACCCAAAGGTTCAACTTCCTGAATTTATGACACAAAATCTAGACTCATTCCATCAATCATAAATGCACAGCCAGGTCTCCAAAAATCGTAGGTTTACAACCATGGAAAATTGATGGTAAAAAACCAAACTACTACTGTGCCAGACACAGGGCTATCAATATCACACACTGTGTAGACTATTGATAGACAATTGTCCTTGCAGGATTTCTGGTGACTCCCCTTGGTCACATTTCAGCAACAACTACTTCAAGATCTTTCCAGGAAATTCCTCCAGAGGATTTCTGCCAAGCTCTTGGGGTATTATATGTAAATGTTGTCAGCCTGGGTGTTTAATCTGGGCAAGACTGCTTCACTGTGGTTTAATTTTAAGGTACATGTAATGACCTTGCCGTATGATGAATGATGCAGTCAGGCAGAGTGAAGAGAGAACTCTGCTACACACTCAGGCAGGAAATGTTGGAAAAATGACAAGGGACTAGTTTCTGCTATCTAGAGCAAAATACGGGGTACCGGGAATGGTGCAATGTCTTGTTGAAGTACATGTACATGTGAGACTAGTTAATCAGCAACACATGTGAGGTGCATAGTTTGTCACTGTCTTTTCTATGAAAAATAAAAAACCTGCAGACAATTGGACAACTCACATGTATGGTATACACATGTATACAGTAACCATGCACATATACACGTGTAACCATGTACATGTACACGTGTAACCATGTACATGTACACGTGTAACCATGTATATGTACACGTGTAACCATGTACATGTACGCGTGTATAGTAAACATGTACAATACCAGCAGCGGTACATTGTGTGCCAATTTTGAACCTTAAGTTCCCAACAACATCATTTTTTTTTATTCTTGTGGTTTTCAAAGGAACAAAAATACCCACTTTTTTCCCACTTCGTATTTACTTTCATCTGAATGGAAGGTTGATCCACGGAACGACGGAAGAAAGAGCCTGTTTTTCTACCGCAAGTGTAACTCTATCTTTGGGTAACCAACAAAGTCAACACTACTCATAGGTGGGTTTTTTTTTTTCATCCAACCGATTTTTTTAGATTGACATTTCAGTGTGTTTTCTTAGCCCAGATACCAACAAATGTGTTGATGCTTGAGTATTTTCAGCGGCAGAAAAGAGCAAAGGATCACAGTTTGTTTGTGTATTCCAAAGCTGATGTCTGGCAGCTTTCATGTTCTAAATCTATTGAAAATATGACAGGAATCTAGAATATTAGGGGAAGGAATTGGCACCAAATAATTTGTTGATGATACACTCACATTCTCCATTCTCAGTTCTAATATGTACATTTATAACCTAATATTAAGATCAAAATAATCACACCGAAACAAAATCACAGACCTACATGTACCAAGTTTCAGAAATTCCTGAAATTTGAGAGAAATCAGAGATTGTTTGTCCGATTGAAACCCACGTCTATTATAATGCATAATAATATCATAACATCATACATGCAATTTGAATAGAATATTCATGGTGACGTCATCAAAACCAAATGAAAGTTAATGCATGAAATGCTTGGGGCCTCTTCGGGGCTCGTTACAATTCTTTTTAAAAATCGCAAAACTAAATCACATCGATATGTTTTCAACTGTGTCGTGAAAATGATGTTTTTCAAGTTAACATTTATACAAAATATCAATGGAAACATTTGGAAAAAGTTTTGAGTGCATGGCCCATGTACTACATTCTACACCGCCCGTCCACGACAGAACGGAAAATTTAAAGCGCGGCAGTACAGCATGCGTTGCCTATCTATTTATGCTGCATCCGGATCTGTTGTTTAGCCCTAGGTCTAGGTCTTCGATCTACGTGGAGATGCTGAGAAAATAGACCTAGCCAAAGCTCTAGAAGCCGGTTTCGGAGACGGCTTATACGTGGCGTAAGTCATCAGTAGTGTATAGTCGTTAGTCAAGGCGCATGGTGACTAGCTCCACACGTGTACTCAGGACACACACAATTCACGAGCTTTGCCACTCGCTCTGCACAGCCTGTCTTCCTCATGTGTGCGCGCGCCATGTGTCCAGATGAGCCTTGACTGAAGGCTAACACTGTAATACAGAGCAGTGTGCGCGTGCAGTGCATTATATAGAAAGCAAATTGATGCATGTGACCGACCTTGTTGTCCAATGTGTGATTTTGGTGAATTATCATCATTTGCAGAATGCGTGAGATTTTGAGCTTGATTTGTGTGAGGGTGAGATTTGGTCAAAATGCATGTGTCACACGCCTAATGTGTGAGACTTGGCAGGTATGAAATCATATGAATCTGAACATCCTCTCCTCGTTTTTCTCATTTGGAAAATAATTTGCTTTTACCTTAGAGCAACACTGGGTCTCCACAACTGAGAACTCGGCAGCACACAAGTTCTTTAAAGACCTCTTAATACACCCATAACCTCCACCCCCAAAGGACACAGACTTACAATCAGCCAACAGAAATGCAAGTTGTCAGAATTAATTACTGTCATCACAATGTTGGCTCAAACTCTCCCAACTGATTTTTAGCCAATTCGACATAACATGCTCCCCTTCAGCACCCTGCCAAGCACTGTGTGCCACATTCTTGACCCTAAAAATACCCTTCACATTTTGCCCAAATGAAACAGATTATGCTGTCAAGGTCGTACTCGTAGCATTTGGCATCCCTGTCTGGTCTCATTTCTTGTTGAAAAAAAAAAGGTCCACAAGCACTTTTAAAGTGTATTACAAATACTTGGTTGTGAATCGATCAGTGCTGCTTGAGCATACATGTACCGGTATATGTTGGAGGGAAAAAGCAGTTTACTGTGTGCAATGTTCCACTGAATATTTTAAGGAATTGTAATGTCACTGATGTCAGCAGCAACCCCACATGAATGGATAATGTGTGCTGTCCTTTTTTGGAGAATGTAATGGGCAAGCTTTTATGCAAGTAGTTGGTAATTCAGCAAAAAGCAAGAATACATGTTAATTTCAATTAAGTAACTAATTCTGGGACAAATTTCAGATATAATTTGAAACTCAAGACACAAGCAACAAACTCAGTTCCAGATTCAAAATTTTAGACTAGGCTTATATAAATTATTTGGTATTACACAATTCTTCAGCAACTGAGTTTGAGAAATTAAATCCAGTAACTTTTTTTATTTCCAGGATTCCTAAAGAATTTTTGAACACATTTTCAGGAAATAATCAAAGCTTGACATTAGAACTACATATACCGGTACATGTACATGTCAATTTTAAAGTACATGTTCAGTAGAGACGGGTATCAGTGAATATGAGAGCAGTTTTAGGCGAGTGTTTCCACTCGCCCCTGAAGCAAGAAACAAAAGGTAAAACCTCACCTCCCTGAAAGCGCGTATCCCTTCCAAACAAGACCTACTGGAAAACCAGCAGCTGGAGACAACCAATGTGACAGTAAGAACATTAATGAAGAAGCATGCTCAGCTCCCCTCTCGCCTGGCTAGGTGTCAATGAACCGGCAAACTGGACCCAATTAATGCATGGGGGTGATTGACAGTGTCCCTGTCTAGTCACTTCTCATTTCCATAATTGATTTTCTTTCCTCCTTAGAAGATGCTACACAGTCACTCAGGTTTACTTACTGTAAGATAATCGATGCCAGTATCTCAGATTCTCAATTCCACCTATGAGATTTGTTGTTTGGCTCCTTGGTTCAAGGTGATGTCTAGTGTCCGTCTCCTCTGGAGAGAAGAACAAAATCAGTCCAGGATTGAGAACTCTACATTAGTCAAAGAAATTCCTGATTGGTTTGTACATGAAGTTCCTTGTATCAGCTGCTGGAAAATCTCACACTACCTTGAGGAAAAAAAATGCACAACGGCCAAAAAACTGATTAATACCAGTACCCGTACATGAGTAACCCAAATCCACCAGATTGTGTCATTCTTCAGCGGGAAGTTTAGAAGGATTTTGCAGGATTGAGGACGGTTGAACATGAACACTATTAGTTTAAATGGAGCTTGTGCCCATTGAAACAAAGACCAGAAACATACTGTACATGTACATTAACAAGTATTTACATTAACTGTGAGCCTACGTGTATCGGTATATTAACTGTACATGTACATTAACAAGTATTTACATTAACTGTGGGCCTACGTGTATCGGTATATTAACTGTACATGTACATTAACAAGTATTTACATTAACTGTGGGCCTACGTGTATCGGTATATTAACTGTACATGTACATTAACAAGTATTTACATTAACTGTGGGCCTACGTGTATCGGTATATTAACTGTACATGAACTTTATCCTTTTCCTTTATTCCTGTATCTTGCTCACTAGTTTCACAAATGTAAAGACTGATACATGCATGCACTTCAACATTATGGGGTAATCTTTAAAAAAATACAAAACTGCTCAATTATGATTTAAAAAAATGACCAAACACAGGAAAACATACAATTATCCTCCCTAAACAGACTCATTAGTAATAGAAAAGAGGCTAGAGGAGAAATAAAAACACATGCTCAACGGATACCATTACTTTAGTTGCAGACATTATATGGGCAGTATGCAAGAGTGGCCACTGAGCACAGAATAGGCCCTAGTAGGTGACAGAATGCTACCGATATAATGTACTGCAGTAGAAGACTGATGCAATCCAATTAACAAGATGAAGAAACAAGCAAGCTATTCAAGACGCGACCATCTGGAAATCTCATAAACAGAAGTCTTTGCCCAAAGAACGTTCTAAATGTGCTTAGCATGAATCAGCTGGGAGCCAGCTGTAAGCAGCACACAAAGCAAGACATTTCCACTGGTAACCTGCAAGAACTAAAGAAATTCATATATACTTAGTGCCTCAGTGAAACAAGTCCTCCTGGTAAGAAAACAGTCGCATGAAAATCAGACAGTGGAGAATGTGTTCAGATCTGAAGCACAAAGCTTATCCAGTATCAACACAGTGGCTCTCTCATTTCCCACTTGTGAACACATCAAGGAGACATCTGAAAGATAACTTGAACCTTTTAATTCCACTAACCTGGGTTAGGGCAAGCACTTCACTCAGTACCTCACCCAGTGCGTGACTGGGTTGGATTCCACTTGGCAGGCACTGGAGGACTACAATGTACAATGTACGCTGTACTTTTCTAATGTATCAAAGAAGCTCGCTGCAAATGACTGTGCATTTGGCCAAATGTCTGAGAGAGGCAATAAATGGTCTGTGTGGTCCGAGTCTCCTGCAACATTCACCATGTTGTCATAGTGGGACGGTTCTTCAAGTGCCACCCTGGTGCAGTGATCAGTGACACCACTGGCTTCTGACTGGTCAGGAATTAAGACATCACGAACAGGGCTGTTCCTGATTGGGTAGGCCAAGTACAGTAGCGGCAGCCATGTGATCCATGATATTTTGGAATAGTTGGCAATGGCACGCCTTTTTGGAGTTCCAGACCCTTATGAGTAATTTCAAATTTGGCAAAGGAATTTCAAAAACAGACACACCATGCTTGAATTTATCATGGAAAGAACTATGAGTAGATGCACATGTACGTAGGCTAATTTAAATTTGAAAGAAAAGAAACAACTTGATCTTTTCCAGATACCATACATTTTATAATTACCATTTCGTCATTTTAATTAGAAATAAGAGCATGTCTCTTTCAAATGAGGTACCGCATACATATACATGTACATGTAGTTAATTTTCTACATTATTGTCAAACAAAGATTGCACTACAATTGGATTTTAACACACTGTGTTAAAGATTGATGGTAGATTTTTGAACAAATTCCATCATGTACCATACGTGCAGAAGGTTTCATAGATAACATCATTATACATTTCTAAGGGACTGAGATAATTTCAGCAGAGGGGGACACGGTGGCTTGGAGGGTTGTAACCACACAATGGCATGATCAATGCATCCACACGTATTAACCTCAAGCATAGTGTGAATCACGCCAGTCATGAACCAAACGTCAAGTCACGTAATGCACTACTTCACGAGCTGGCATCAATCAACCTACATTGTCTTGTTATGGCTGTATCTTTAGATCCAGGGGCTCTTTTTAAACACTCGACTAAAAAGTTCCTGCTCAGTGGTTATGTTTCACTTTTAAAGTGGTGCAGTCACACCCTACATGAAGGTGTGAAGGTTAGGGAAGATGTGGTCAGGCAACTTTTGACCGGAATCTGGACCCTGATTACCCAAAGTGATCTTGGGACAGAGTAACCAGGAGAAATTTGATGGGTTTTACTGCATTCATACATGCACCGGTACCAGTAGCATAGTATACATGTAGGTAATTTGATTTTGAAAAATTTCACACCTCCGGGTACCGTCTGCAAGAATAATAGCAAACTTAGCAGAAATATTAGTGACTTGTAATTACAGTATACATGTTGAGGTTATACACTTTTCTGCCCTTGACACTTCCAAAATTAGAAATGGGGAAGGACATTAAATAAGACAGAAATGTCAGGAACTAGGAATCCAAAACATCACAAGACTGAGAGAGTCTAAATTTGTTGAAAACGGATCCCCAAATGTCTGAACTTCTCACTTGTCCACATTTACTTCCATTCTTGATTGGAATCAGCATCCAAATTCACAACAGCCTTTTCAAAAGGTTGCCAGACGTGCTTCTGGCAAAATATCGTAACCACACCTAGGCTCACCCTACAGGTGTATACTCTATCCTTGTCTTGTCAGGAGAGCATTCCAGGTGCTTTGGGTTAGCCCCACCCTCTCCCTTGGCCCTTCTCCCGAGGCAATTCCTCTCTAAGTAGCCAAACGGGAGACAGAGCTCAATCGAGTTGGAAAAAGACTTCTGGAAGTCCCTTGGCAACATTTCGTTTCTCGGGGCAGTCTAAATTACTATCATATTGTCTTGCTGAGACCAATGATTTTCCAATTCAAACTAATCTGAGTGTATTTCAGAAGAGATGGATTTCTTTGATTTTGCGACATTTAGATGCACAATGTACATGTCTAATGAACGAGCATGATGAGTAGCATTGATCTGCCGACAGAGGGAACCAGCAACCTCCAACTCAGAGCTGCTGAATCTCCTGCCTTCTATTGATTTGTCAAGGAATAAAATGGAGGAAATCCATACCCAATGCACAAGGAGTTTCCTCCACCAAATACTTGTAGCAAAATACTAAGTAAGCAAAATGACACAAGCTTCATAGGTGCTACTTCTTGGAGGACTTATTTTGAGAACCAACGAATCAGACTTGCGGTTATTTTGAGAAATGAGACACCACTCTTTAAGAACTTCTTTGTGTTGTAAATGTACAATGTACATGTATGTAATTTCACAGTGGTATCTTTAGTTCTGTATACTTAGCAACAGAGACTTCTTGCAATTGAGTTTAAGAGACAATCGTCTGAATCAGGATGCCATCGTATAGCGGTGCTTTAAAGTAGGTGATGCAAAAATAAAACAGGCCAAAAATTCCAGGACAGACAAGCTTGCCAGAAATTACAACCAGGACGACAACAATTGGAGCAGGGCAGCCACCCTGTATTTCTCTTCAGGAATTATGGAATTTGGACAGGGAAAAAAGGGGTATTGGATAATCCAATAGACAGCTGTCTGTATACATGTTCATGTTTTACATGTACATCACAGTCTTATTAACCCTCTTTTTCCTCTCCAAACAAACGGCAACCTTGGCATGCTCAGTCTTCTACAATTAAGATCAAAATTTGCCGAGCCATTGCTGAGGCATTGTCCAGTATCTGAATCCTTATACAGCCAAACTTCCTGTAACAAATCACGACAGATTTGTATCGCTTTAACACTTCATAATCTCACTCACTCAAAAAAAAACCCGCAAAGCAATCGAAGACAGCCATGTCATTGTTGTGCTAATTTAATACATCCCAAGCGCTACAGATGTTGAAAGCTCTCCCAAGATCAAAATAAATTTCCCAACTGGAAAAGAAAATGAATTGCCACAGGAAAGTGAGAGCAAGGCACTGAAGATGAACGGATTCAGACTAGGGGAGAAAAAAAAGATCCCTAGAGGAAGATGCAATCAGTGGACGACCCAGCTTTGTTTGGCAATCTCAGCATGGGCGGCAAGATTGCCCGGCTCGAGTCAGTCAGCCTAAGACCCCCCTCCCAACAACGGGTAGAGGCAGGCGCAATTCTAATTCAGCCAATATTTTGCCACTTCGAATCCACCCTTCTTCGAATCCACAGGCTTCTATGGAGAACACAGAGAGACTGTCTCCAAGAAGGAACCAGGCAACAATAAGATCACGATACTTCACACCTTCAGTGAACTCACACCAAGCTGTGTTTCATTAAATCAAACCAAAATGCTCATATGCACACCAAGAACTTCATTGGAATTATAATTACTGTGTTAACCAAATATGACTTATGACAGTTACCATACAATGTACATGTACATGTATGTCCCATATGTAGGTACACCGTACATACGTGTACATGTATATACAAGTGCATTATTGTGCATACAGGTTTTTTTTACTCAAAGCAAAAATATAGCACATGAATGAAATTCACAATATGTACCAAGTCATTTGCCCACAAAGTACATGTACCTTACAACTATTAATATGTGCTTGTTTGTCAGAACCGGCACTACAGCATCATACATGTACATGTATGTATACGCATATGGGTGATTCTATAAATTAGGGGTCCAACTTGGGGACATTTTGGTGTCCTGTTACACGTGAAGCCAGTCA